TAGTCATGGGACATGTCCCCATACAGGGGTTCCAAATGTTGTTGATAGTAGCGATCAGCATGTCGATCACCCGAATTTTATATGAAATCTTGCCGTTGCTGAACGTTGCTCCTATAGTAAATTTACCTTGATGCAACCTTACCCCTGACTTTTGTAAGCAGAATTTTTCTTGAAAAGATTATCTATCATAACATACAACCTTGACTTCCTTCCGCTCTTTAGTTTGAAAGAATCTGAAGTTACAAGTTGAAATATTTTACCCCCTGTACTAAATACTCTATTCTGAAAGCTGAAAGCACCAACAAACGCTAGCTTCGAGTATTCTGTTCAACGGCCTAGCAGTGTTACTATCTTTTTGCAACGGGTCCTATTATCAGACACTTCCACAACCCTCACCAAATGCTCACTCTAACAATGGGTTATAGTAAGATTATAAACAATGTTAATAGTCTATATTAATATTAATATTAACATTCTTGTTCTTATGTATTAAAGTATGAGCATAGGTTGTGGGACAATTCACATTTTATTTTCTGCATTTTCTGTTTACAGAGAACAGCTGACATTGCTACAACAGAGGAATACCAATAATACTGGTCTCCTGTATTTAATTGGCCAGCCAAATAAGACATGCACGCATTCCCAGCGCACTAAATACATACCAGTAAGTCTTATTATTATTATTATTATTCGATCAAGTATTTTTATACGTAGCCACCAGAATCCGGCCGCATAAGACATTGTAATAGTAGCAATAGTCGCTTTCAGATCTGGAAACTGAACTGTAACACAAGCATCGAAGAATAGCATTTTCATTTACTGGTAGAAGACATCCCATTTTCATCTCCAACTGACATCTTTAGCATTCATTGCCAGTGCGTCAGGGACAAACCTGTTTCCATTTGTATACACCTAACAACTTTGTAGGCAGGTGAGAGGAAGAATCGAGGACTTGGTGTGTAGCATTGGGAAGACATACTCACTATTTATGAATATGTTTTAGACCTATAAAACAGTACATAGACAGGCTGCAATCAATAGAAGTTACGAGGATGTATTATTATTATTTATGGCTACTATTAATACAGTGTTTATTCATAGGAATTGAAGCTGTTAATTGACGTGGCAGGGGTCCAACAGTCAACCAGTTCTGACAGTTTCAACTTCTGCTGGGATATTCGATCCTTCCTCAAACACAGTACTGAATAATTCAATCCAATCAGACATGACTAACAACTTTCACAGTTTCTTGCTCCATTCTGACTCAATATTTGACGCAATAAAATATCTGGTAGAGAAAATGACCATGAAGAGAATGTTAGAGATGCTAATGTCTGTTACTGTTTCCTTAATAACAATGCTACTCTTAATATTAGAGAATGGAACTTGTTTGAGGCGTACAATTGTTCACTATCGTTCGAAATTTATGTGATGTTCCAAATCGATTTCGCGTCTTTCAAGAATCAAGCGAATCGGAATATGCAAACTCAAATTATACCTAATATTCTGTGTCAATTTTTTGCACACACGTCGACAACAAAATATCTAACATTTTGTAATATATAAAGTAGATTCACAATATTAGTTCAATGTCAACACGCACGTGTATTTGGTTCATGCTACAGATGTTATGTCAGTATAATATAGAAATTATATAAATATTGTGTGTCGGTAATAAGAGTACGGAATACGGAAATCGATGAGCTTGATTATTATACAATTCAGTTAAACGTATTTACATTAACCCTATCGGTCTTGTTAATGCCAAGTGCATCTGAATGAAAGCCAGCAAAGTGTGGTAAACTGCCAAGCAAATCCCAACTTGCCCAAGTCCCAAATGAAACTGCGAATTTGTTGGTCATTCCTTCCAGCTGATTATTGTTGTATAACACTCTCAAGTCAACGCATGCTTAACCTTCACTAATCTGCATCTTACAGTAATTAGAATTGGGGAATAAGTTATATGCTAGCATTATTTCAGAATGCACACTGTCGAGATCAATCGAAATTGATGGGTTATATTAGCATATTCAGTTTTAAGTATACTAATACGTGAAGTTTACGAGTGATATATAGATTCATCACCTTCAGCGAATTCTCTCGCTTGTGAGTATATAGGGCTTTTCGTTTCCTGCAGAAGTTGATGTAAGCAAGATAAAAAGTGATTTAATTAAAACAAGCATTTAAATGTAAATAACAATCACCATCCATATAATATCAGCATATACTGCTATATGCAAGCAGCTCTATTAATAGCACACCGTGTGCCTCCTTGATATCGATAATTTCCTTCTCGAGTGTGGGGGGAGCATCCCAATACCAGAATAAATCGAACCCGATTGATTCAGCATAAGCTTTAGCATCGTCGTGTGGTAAAGTGCTCGCTTTAGAATTCCACGTCATCTTTATCGGGCTTGTTTGAAATCTTTAATCGCCTCATCGCATCGTCGACGGGCTGAATTTCGGTCTTCTTCCGAGCTTTTGACTGCAAATTTGTAATTAAGAAAGCGAGGTTGGTTGGAGCAAATATTGTGACTTTCGTAGAACGGGATGAGATTAAAGACATCTTTGGAAGAGAGAAGCTAAGAAGGCATTGTAGCTTGAAGTTAGTAAACAGTTCAAAGACACCAAGTAAAACTTGACAGTCTAACTATAACATCTATTAAGAGTTCCGCTTATGCACTCATTCCTTCTCTTCTTCACTGCATACCGTATCCTCGTAGGCTTTTAAATGTAGTCAAATCCTTCTGCATGGGAAGTAGATCTTCCAACCTAGGACTGTGCATGGAGAAGTCTGGCACTAGTAATTGTGGTAAGGAAGAAGAGAACATAAAGCGAGACGACAATAAGAGCGATAATAAATCGTGTGGAAGATAGAAATTGTAAATATTTGAATTACAGTTTAAAAATAGCCACACTGTCATGCATCTGACCCCATTCGGCAAATACCGTGAGCTGTAAACTAAAATAATATACTAATACGTATTGCTCGATGTCATATCAGATTATTGTTACAAGTCACGCGCAGATATGAAGTGTTTGGAATTAGTCTTCTATACAAGACTCTGTTGTTCTCCACACATTCTATTTAGCATGTTATTGGTATGTATTACGATGTTTTTAACTTGTGCTGTCACAGTTGTAACACATCGGAGAATTAATCGTTTTGGAACACTCCATCTACCTAAACCTTATTCATTTATCCTTTAGCATTCTTTCTATGAAAAATATGTAACTGTAAGACACAAACAAAAAGTCTTTATTAAAATATTGCTGAGTTGACAATCAGCACTACAACGCCACCAAGAGTCATCAAGAGCAGTTGCCTGTCCGAAACTGCTTGGTGGTCTGGGCCTCTATGGGCACGGATACGCTCGACAAGGTTGTCTTGCGTGCAGAGGAGGATTGTGCACGGTGCCTCCCCTGCAACTTTCCGTGCCTCTTGTGAAAAGCCCAGAGCCACCATCACCCCCACCGCATCTTTTGAGGCAACCATGACGGTGCCTATAAGAGCTCTTATGGGATCGGGGCCTATCATTAAAGTCAAGTTATTATTGTGTCATCATTATGACAATGTCGAAAGTTTCAAAAGTCAACATAAGAAAATATGCATTGTATTCATTTTTATTATTATTATTATTATTATTTTTATTATTATTTTTATTTTTATTTTTATTTTTATTCATTATTATTATTGTAGCTCCATTTACCCATATACACATCACAATATTAATATTAATATTATTAATGACTTTTAAATCGACATATTAATACTGTACTAACCGACATCCATATTCTTGCATTGCACGATAAATTCCACCCTGTCAAGGGTGACAGTTATGTCAGCCCCGCCATCCCCACCGTTCAGGCTAATAACGTCAAAAAAAAATAAAATAAAATAATAATGAGCATATGTGTCATAATAGTCAAGATCAGAAATAAACGTTCACAGCAAGCTGTGGCCACGATGCGCTTTCATTTCATAATCAATATATCCTATTCACCACAGCTGGAGCCACCTCAACAGCTATTTATTTTTCAGTAACGAAGAAGAACGTTCATAGCTATTCAGATACTGGTAACAGGGACATAAAGTGTTTTTCATATGTATCCTATTCACCACACAGCCGGAGGAAATACCATCGACAGCTTTTCAGTAACAGAGTTGATATACTTGCACCCTATGTGCTTACCAAAACTCTGATTTATACCTAGTGGCAGCGTACCTTCAGACACATACACAGTATGTATACCTGAACACAGTAGCTTGCAAGCCATGGCCACGGCGCGCTTTCGATTCTTCGATTTACACCTAGTGGCAGCGTACCTTCAGATATAATGACTACTTTACAAATACTCAGTGAGATACTCACCACCGTCGCTTATATGCGAGGAGTCCGGCGTCGGTGAGAGCCCTCTCCGCTCGCCGTTCGAAGTTTAAGGCTGCCTTCATAATTTCTCTGCGTTCGTGGGTAGTCAAGGCTTCTGCACTCCCGGCTTCTCTGGCGGCGGCTTGTCGGTTTCTCGGACTCCGAGGCATGTTGTAATGATTAGTATCATGCTTCACGTAGTTTATCTTATATTTACGAAGACACGTTGGTGGATACTGGAATAGGTAATTTGATAATCTATGTGATTTCTGCGAAGCACAGTAGACTTGATATTCCCATGGAAATCATCCGGAAAAACGGGGATCATTGATTTTAAGGCTACACACCACCATTATATGCGGATGATTAAAGACTTTTGCTAGATAATTATTTGTCACATTCCCAAAAGGATAGGCGAGGAAATTTTCTCCCGTGTCATTCCATCCTATCACAAGCATCTTTGTGAATCCAAATGAATAATCTTGCCACTATGCTAGTAAAGAATACTAATACTGGCTTACATCTTATAATCTGTAATGTTAGATAGGAATGTCAGCAGTCAAACCCACCCTATCAAATAAATAAACGACTTGCATTTTACTGTATAATTATCTTAATATTCAACTTTTTTCAATGTATCAACAGATGCTTGAGAAAAAGTATTTGAGGGGCTTAGGCTGCAGGGGGCATATTAAATTTGATCGACATGTGAATGACATATATAATATATCACTTGTCACATATAATGTAGTCCCTAAAATCAAGATGTAGAAATGAACGTGATGTAACGTTCACCATTGCAAAATCTAACATCATAGAGAAGGGTAATAATGTCAGTACAATTAGTACTTTGAGTTTTCGTCCTTATTATTATGTAAATAGGTTCTATTTGCCACTACAAAATGTGATTTTTCCGAGCGTAAGCACAGCCACATTTCTATGAATTCCCATGGTCGATCATTCACAAACACCAACTTCTAGATAAGGTTATATAAAGTATTACCAAATCAACAATGCTATTCGAAAACTATGATTAGATAATAAACTAACAAAAATCGAATATTAATATCATGTGCAGTAAATTTATTATGGTGCAGTAATTATAATCACCTGTTTACCATTAAACGTCATATGACAAAAAAATTTTATTAGAATGCGATTTTTACAAACACAAACTCCTTTTTTGTTACAGGTAAGATGAAATAAGCATCGTAACAAGGAATTTGGCATAGTCATTAGGAACTTCTATGATCTTTTGTGACGTCAAAAGTATTTTTTTTTTTGCTGTAGCTCCTAATTATGCATTATAATTATAATGTCAAACAACAAGAGACTGCTAAATTAATACTTGAGTGCACATTGATATTGAATTTAATTAACAAGCCAGTTTATTTGAGTATTACATATTAATAAAGAAATTCGTACGATCATCGGGTTATAATTGTCCAATACAAGGGCAAGGTTGTTTAATAGTAGTGACATGCTAAATAGAATACAACAGAATATCATATAATGAGAATGATAATAATGTTGGAAGCAATTTCTATGCAGCTGTTGTTATCGACACTTCATATCGCATGATTTAGACAAAATTTCGGTCATAAATCGTATTTTTAATTTCGGCCTTGAAAATTTCGCCGCGTGTACAGTTTGGTCTATTTTTAATCCTTGTCAAATTAGGCTCTAAAAAACAATGCACATTTGTGAGTAAAGTCGTACAGATTATAATTATAAACGACATCGACACTTACGGCAGCGTCTAATAATCGTGTTTTTTTATAAATTAACCTGAGTTATGAGTATGAGATTTAAGCTTCTTCCAACCGTCTCAATTGAAAACAAAATTACCATACTCTGTGTTATATTTTAATTAAATTCTATTAATATTAATATTAATATTAATATTAATATCGAGATAAAATAATTTATTTATTTGCTTGTGTAGCGGTCGTACACTGTTTGTCCAAACAAGTACATAATGTGCTTTTCTGGCAACGAAGAAACATTTGTAAGACATACTAATACAGATTTGGATAACAAATGCGGTACAATAGTATGTATTAATTATTATTTACCTGAAAACAGCACCACTATGGGAAGTTATTGTCCGGGCGAGTTAATGCTAAGATTATTTTGGGACTATCACGGTGTAAGATAGTTCGGCCGGGATCGGTCAGAGTGAGGCAGCACAAGTTCTATTTTTAACAATATTTTCGAAATTTACGAGGTTTACTTTAATGTATCGGCCGACGCAACTTAAATATGTTAACACGTAGTTCAAAATAATAATGAGCGTGTTTGTTATAAATTGACCGATTTGATTGTGGCATTAAAATAATTGTGAAAACTAGTTCCGAAGACAGAACACTTAGTAAATACTAATATTAAACATTCAATCAGACACCGTTTTGCATCATATCACTTTTATAAATCTCGTTTTAAAATGGCCGAACCCGAATTTATTTCTTTTATGGAAATCGACAAAAGCTTTGAAGAGACTCACGAAGAGTTTGGCGAAGAAAGTGATGAAAATGATTATGAAGAAAATTTTGAAGAAAATTTCGAAGACATTTATTCCACCATACTCGAAGAAACTTTACTAGCTGACGACTACGAAAATAATATAGATTGGAATGATGAGGATTTCTCTCGTACTGAAACTTCTCCAATAACAGAAGAGACGATATCAAATAAAAAAAAATCTACGGACCTCACTCCATGTGTTATTGTAGATCTAGATGAAGGCGAGATAAAACGTTGCAACAGTAGAGATAAGTTGCGGCCATTGTATAATATGCTAGGAATTTGGGAAATAGATACTAATAATCCCACGATCGAAAATACAACAAATTGTAATCAACTTGGAGTATGCCACCATCACGTTTTTTATGATCAAAACTCCATTCATCCAAATCTAAAGAGTGATGTTCCAATTGACGAAAGTGAAATACCAAACATGGTTCAAATTCACTTGTGCCTTTTCTGTCACAAAAAGACGGGCTTCTTTAGCCGTGAGATTAATACTGGATGTAGGAGACATTCATGGTGCATGCATGGATACAATTTTCAAACACCCTGTATTGGTGCTACATGTGTCTTGGCAGATGAATCTATTGCAGAGGAAGCTTCTTCAAACTATCGTGCACATTACATCTGTACAATGTGTTTCCAGAAACAGGGAGGACATTTACGTACACCGCCAGGCAGAGGTCATAGCTTTGTAACTTGTGGTGAATGTGGAGAACACAATGAAGATATAAGCACTGCTTTAGATGATTTAGGGAAGTGGGTAGCCTCAAGAGGAAATATAAAAAACAAAAGGTTGCAAAAACGACTGATCTCAGTATTAATTGCAGAGATCATAAATCACAAAAAGGATACAACAGCAGACATGGATAGCTCATCAAGTACTGAATGGCGAAGCACACTACTTGTTAGAGCTGTACTGAAGTTGGGGGAAACAGACATATCTTATGACAAAATAACTCCAAAAAAAGCATCCATTATGGGAAAAGACTTGGGAAAAGAGATTTTGTCCCTGCATTCTGAACTTGAGGAAAATAGAAAACAGCTAGAAGAACCTAGTACATATAAAGAGTATTCTAATGCATTACCCAGCATGCTTTGTGAATTCTTTCAAGCTCTCATTACAACATTACAAGAGAGGAAACAAACTATTATTAACAAAAAGAGAAAGCAACGTGGACAATCTGAAACATCTATAAACAAAGACCAGATAATAAGAACTACCACATTATTTGTCTCTATGTTGCTGACAATTGCCTTCCCTGGAATAAAATTTTGGCTCTCACACATAATGTCATCATTATGTCAAAAACCTAAATTGTTGCCATATTTAAGGAAGATTCTATATACAGCAAAGATTGTTTCTTACAGTAAACGACATGAAAACCGCCTTGAAGTGGAGAGAGCACTGAATACAGACCCTAAATCCAAAATACTCCAAGGGACACAAAATATATTTAATCTGGCTGTGATTGACAACATAGACTTTGCAGCCTTAACATTTAAATCAGGCAATATATTTGACACCCCACGACAGACATCACATGCAACATTACGTCTATTAATACAATTTATTCTCCCAGATGACACAGATGACATAGTAATAATGGAAGATTCCAATAATCCATTATTTGGTGAATCT